ACGTTCAACGTGTTGGTTGTAGTGCACAGGGGTGTTGCATGACCATAATGAGAAACCTCCAAGTCTATGCAAAATAAACAATAAATCACATATTTTAAAATAGTAATAATAAACTTTATTTATATCCCGCCCCCTCTCCAAACAGGACTCGGGGCAGCTACAGGACTCAGGGCTGCTTATATAAATATATAAATGGATAAATAAATAGATAAATATATAAATGGAGGGTTTGCATGAGATGTTATGTCCCCATACATTTTGTTAGGACAATTTATGCATGTGCCTATGTCTCTTCTAAGTGGTTGGTTTAGCCTCCGGTTAGCTAGTAAAAACTATTTTTTTTAAAAAAAAATGTCGTGTCAGGAGCAACTTGAGAAACTGCAAGTCGCTTCTGGTGTGAGAGAATTGGCCGTCTGCAAGGACGTTGCCCAGGAGACGGCCGGGTGATTTGATGTTTTTATCATCCTTGTGGGAAGCTTATCTCATGTCCCCGCATGAGGAGCTGGAATTAATAGAGGGAGCTCATCCGCCTCTCCCCGGATTCAAACCTTCGACCTGTCAGTCTTCAGTCCTGACAGCACAGGGGTTTAACCCACTGCACCACCGGGGGCACTGAGATAGCTAGTAAAAAAATGAATGACTGTGTTGCAAAATGCTGCACGTTGAAAAATGTGTCATCAATATGACACGTTTGGAAAGCTCCAGTCTATACAAAGGAGAAGTGGGTCTGACAGTATTTTCGGCAGGGGAGTCCACCGATTCTCTGCCAACAGCCCTCAGAGAACCCATAACACACAAGGAGGGATACACATCCCAGATGGCAACCTCATATCCCTCCACTTTGGCTGGGTCTCTTGAGATCGCCATACGCTGTAACAGTTGGTGAAGGTACTTTCTTTAGTGTGGCACATGGTGATCCCAAGACTCAACGGACAGCTTGTCAGAACATTACCAGATGCCCAGGGGAAGCGACACTCTCCCCAAGCTCAGTTTCTTCTTAGGCCACATGTGTCAAACTCAAGGCCTTTGGGACGAATCTAGCCCGCCATGTCATTTTACGTGGCCCTCCAGATGCTGGACTACAACTCCTGTCTGCCTCATCATTCAACATCATGACTAGAGCTGATGGGAGTTGTGATACAGCAACGCCTGTTGTTCCTTTTAGACCAGTGGTTCCAACCTATGGTCCATGAACCACCACCAGTGGTCCTAAAGAACTAAAATATGGTCCGCAGCCTCACCATTACTACACCGTTGCAACAAAAGCAACTGGCCTCGCAAAACCCTCTTATAGCGCCAAGGCAATGGGGATGTCGGGAGGGGAGAGGCTGACTACCCATGAAAGGTGCAACAACAAGCCTCCTGACTGCTGCTTTCCTCCTCCTCCCTCCCCCTGAGCGGAGCCAGTTCATGTGGCACCTGGAAGCGAGGGTGCCTTAGCATATTCGTTTTCAGGCCTGTTCCTGGGGTTATTGGGGTGCTGATTCAGAAAATTGCATTGGCTAGACCACATCAGCTCTAGATTATTAAAAATGGTTTTTCTGTGGGCGAGCAGATGGCGACTACTGGATGGCGTATGTTCTGTATCAGAAACTGTAATCTATCCAATTACATTTTCTGAATCAGCACCTCAAATAACCAAACTGAATCTAAAGTTGACCAAAAACTGATTCGCAACCCTTTTGGTACTAATGTTGGAAAGTGGTCCCTGGCTAAAAGAAGGTTGGGAACCACTGCTTTAGACAGGAGAGTGGAGTTTGGATTGAGATACATGCACCACAAAAGTCCCCAGTGGAGCAGCAGGTTAAACAGCTGAGCTTCTGAAGTTGCTGACCGAAAGGTTGGCGGTTTGAATCCGGGGAGCGAGGTGACATCCATTGTTAGCTTCTGCCAACCTAGCAGTTCAAAAACATGCAAATGCAGGAAAGTAAAAGCGCTCCATACAATCATGCTGGCCTTGGAGGCTTCTCTGGTCTTTGGCTTAGAAATGGAGATGAGAACCATGAGAATCCCCCCCCCCGCCCCGCCCCCGAGTCCCAGAGTCAGACATGACTAGATTTAATGTCATAGGGAAACCTTTACCTTTATCTTTTATCTAAAGTTGACCAAAAAGTGATTTGTAACTCTTTTGGTACTTATATTGGAGAGTGGTCCCGGTCAAAGTGGCCCCTGGTCAAAGTATTCCCTGGTCAATTGGTCATAGTCAAAGTGGGCCATGGTCAAGTGTGTCAAACAGGGATGTGTTATTGTCCCAACTTTATTCTCCATCTTCATTGCTATGATACTTCACCTTGTTGATGGGAAACTTCCCACCAGAGTGGAAATCTTCTATTGGACAGATGGCAAGCTGTTTAAGCTCAGCAGACTGAAAGCCAAAACCAAGGTTACAACAACATCTGTTATAGAACTCCAGTATGCTGATGACAACATTGTCTGTGTGCATTCAGAAGAAGATTTACAAACCACTCTAAACACCTTCACAAAAGCTCAGCCTGTCACTGAACATCAAGAAAACCAAAGTGTTCTTCCAGCAGTCACCAGCCCACCCCTCTCCAATGCCAGAGATACAACTTAATGGTGTAACATTAGAAACTGTTGACCATTTCAGCTACCTTGGCAGCCACTTCTCCACAAAAGTCAACATCGACACTGAAAAAGAACACCGCCTGAGCTCTGCGAGTGCAGCATTTTTCCGAATGAAGCAGAGAGTGTTTGAGAACTGAGACATCCGTAGGGATACCAAGGTGCTTGTTTAGAAAGCTATTGTCCTCCCAACCCTGCTATATGCCTGTGAAACGTGGACTGTCTACAGACGTCACATGCAACTCCTGGAACGATTCCATCAGCGCTGCCTCCGGAAAATCCTGCAAATCTCTTGGGAAGACAAGCGGACAAACGTCAGAGTGCTGGAAGAAGCAAAGACCACCAGCATTGAAGCGAAGGTCCTCCGCCATCAACTCGACCGGCCACATTGTCCGGATGCCCGACCACTGTCTCCCAAAGAAGTTGCTCTACTCCGAACTCAAGAACGGAAAACGGAATGTTGGTGGGCAGGAAAAGAGATTTAAAGATGGGCTCAAAGCCAACCTTAAAAACTCTGGCATAGACACTGAGAACTGGGAAGCCCTGGCCCTTGAGCACTCCAGCTGGAGGTCAGCTGTGACCAGCAGTGCTGCAGGATTTGAAGAGGCACGAATGGAGGGCGAAAGAGAGAAATGTGCCAAGAGGAAGGCGTCAAGCCAACCCTGACCGAGACCGCCTTCCACCTGGAAACCAATGCCCTCACTGCGGGAGAAGATGCAGATCAAGAATAGGGCTCCACAGTCAGTCACCTACGGACCCACCAGAACACTGATCCTGGAGGACTATCCTACTCAGCCAACGAGGGATCGCCTAAGTAAGTAAAGTAAGGTCAAGTGGGCCCAGGTCAAAGTGGCCCTTGATGAAAGTATTCCCTCGTCAAGTGGTCCCCGGTCAAAGTGGTCCCCAGTCAAAATGGTCCCTGGACAAAGTGGTCACTGGTCAAAGTGGTCCACAGTCAAAGTGGACCCTGGTCAAAGTGGGACGTGGTCAAGTGGGCCCAGGTCAAAGTGGCCCTTGATGAAAGTATTCCCTTGTCAAGTGGCCCACCATCAAAGTGGTCCCTGGACAAAGTGGTCACTGATCAAGTGGTCCATGGTCAAAGTGGTCCCTGGTCAAGTGGACTCTGGTCAAAGTGGGCCATGTCAAGTAGGCCCAGATCAAAGTGGCTCTTGATGAAAGTATTCCCTCGTCAAGTGGCCCACGGTCAAAGTGGTCCCCGGTCAAAATGGTCCCTGGACAAAGTGGTCACTGGTCAAAGTGGTCCATAGTCAAAGTGGACCCTGGTCAAAGTGGGACGTGGTCAAGTGGGCCCAGGTCAAAGTGGCCCTTGATGAAAGTATTCCCTTGTCAAGTGGCCCACCATCAAAGTGGTCCCTGGACAAAGTGGTCACTGGTCAAAGTAGTCCATAGTCAAAGTGGACCCTGGTCAAAGTGGGACGTGGTCAAGTGGGCCCAGGTCAAAGTGGCCCTTGATGAAAGTATTCCCTTGTCAAGTGGCCCACCATCAAAGTGGTCCCTGGACAAAGTGGTCACTGATCAAGTGGTCCATGGTCAAAGTGGTCCCTGGTCAAGTGGACTCTGGTCAAAGTGGGCCATGGTCAAGTAGGCCCAGATCAAAGTGGCCCTTGATGAAAGTATTCCCTCGTCAAGTAGCCCACGGTCAAAGTGGTCCCTGGATAAAGTGGTCCCTGGACAAGTGGGCTCTGATCAAAGTGGGCCATGGTCAAGTGGGCCCAGGTCAAAGTGGCCCTTGATGAAAGTATTCCCTTGTCAAGTGGCCCACCATCAACGTGGTCCCTGGACAAAGTGGCCCCTGGTCAAGTGGTCCCTGGTCAAAGTGGTCCCTGGTCAAGTGGACTCTGGTCAAAGTGGGCCATGGTCAAGTGGGCCCAGATCAAAGTGGCCCTTGATGAAAGTATTCCCTTGTCAAGTGGCCCACCATCAAAGTGGTCCCCGGACAAAGTGGTCCCTGGTCAAAAAAAGGTTGGGAACCACTGCTTTAGACAGGAGAGTGGGGTTAAGATTGAGCGACATGGCTTGTGAATCTCCTGCCTGACTTTTAACATCTTCTTTCACCTTCCCCGACCTCTGAGCCACAAGTGCATTTCAGTTGCAATTCCCATTATTCCCACTCAATGAAAACAACAACAATAATCATAATAAGAATAAGATAATGAGAAGCGAGGGAACCAAAGAGCCCCGACTGCTTTGTCCAGAAATGAGAGTTGGCGTGGCTGGAAGGGCTCTTGGAAGGCGGCTCTGGCGCTGGGTGACACTGCGATGACACCCCGCCCGAAAGAGCTCCTGCCTGGGCGCCAAGGCCGGCCTGCCAGCCGCGCCTCCCTCAGGCTCTGCGGCCCAGAGACGAGGAGGCCCTTTCTCCCGCCGCTCGGAAGGCCCAAGGCAAGGGGACTCACCGGCTCGTCCTCGCTGCTGCTGCTGCTGCTGCTGCTCTCCACGAGGCGTTGGAGGCGCCTCCACCCGCGGCTGAGGCCCAGCAGGCTGCCCAGGGTGGTGTCTCCCGCCACCGCCGCCGCCACCGCCGCGGCCCGCTCGCCCTCCCCCGCCGCCGCCCAGAGCAGCAGCCGAGGCGCCAGCAGCGAGACCCGCGCGCGACTCCCGGCCCCGGCGCCCCGCCCGCGGCACCCGCCTGGCCTGCCCGGGAAGCGGCCCCGCGGCACCGAGGCCCAGGAGGAGCCCCCGCCGCCGCCGCCTCCCACTGCCGCTCCCGCCGCCATCTTTAAGCTCCGAGCCGAGCCTGGATAGGGGCCGGGCCGCCACAATAACAACCCTCCGCCAGAGCCTGGCCAAGCTCCGCGCGGGGCCGCCTGGGAAAGCGAGTCCCTCCGCCAGGCGCTCTGCATACATCGCAAGGCCAGGGTTAGGCGACAGAACTATCATTCCCGTCAGGTAGCGCGGCACGGATACGAGCTTCTTCTCTCGCGGTGCCCTCTGGGACGGAGAGTCCTTTTCTGGAAAAGAGCCTTGCGGAACAAAGCGAAGGCCATGAGACGGAGGAACTACGTTCCCCGTGAAGCACCGCGGCCGCACCCGGGCTGCACGGCCTTCAGTCAGAGTGGGCCATTGAGTCGGCTGAAATGGAGGAGTCGGGCGGAATCAGGCTCGGATCTTTCTGTTAGGAGCGTCTACACCGTAGAACGAATGCAGTTTGACGCGGTTCAGTACTGTGGAATCACTGGAGGCGTCGTTCCTCTTGGGCAGAAATTGAAACAACAGCTCCCACGATTCCATAGCAGTTAAAGCGGTGCCAATCTGGTTTAATTCTACAGTGTAGATCAGGCATGGGCAAACTTGGGCGCTCCAGGTGTTTTGGACTTCAACTCCCACAATTCCTGGAATATTGTGTCCAATTCTGGGCACCACAATTCAAGAGAGATATTGATAAGCTGGAATGTGTCCAGATGAGAGCGACTAAAATGATCAAGGGTCTGGAGAACAAGCCCTATGAGGAGCGGCTTAAGGAGCTGGGCATGTTTAGCCTGAAGAGGAGATATGATAGCCATGTATAAATATGTGAGAGGAAGCCACAGGGAGGAGGGAGCAAGCTTGTTTTCTGCTTCCCTGGAGACTAGGACGCGGAACAATGGCTTCAAACTACAAGAGAGGAGATTCCATCTGAACATGAGGAAGAACTTCCTGACTGTGAGAGCCGTTCAGCAGTGGAACTCTCTGCTCCGGAGTGTGGTGGAGGCTCCTTTGGAAGCTTTTAAACAGAGGCTGGATGGCCATCTGTCAGGGGTGATTTGAATGCAATATTCCTGCTTCTTGGCAGGGGGTTGGACTGGATGGCCCATGAGGTCTCTTCCAACTCTTTGATTCTATGATTCAGGCCCTTTCCGGAATTGTGGGAGTTGAAGTCCAAAACACCTGGAGCGCCCAAGTTTGCCCATGCCTGATCTACACTGTAGAATTAATCCAGATTGATACCACCTTTATTGCCATGGCTCAGTGGTATGGAATTCTCTTTGGCCTGAGGCCAGGAATTGTGGGAGCTGAAGTCCAAAACGCCTGGAGCGCCCAAGTTTGCCCATGCCTGATCTATCTACACAACAGAATTAATACAGATTGACACCACCTTTATTGCCATGGCTCAGTGGTATGGAATTCTCTTTGGCAGAGAAATTGAAAGTCCTTGTAAAATCTCATAGCATTAAGATGGTATCAAACTGCGTTAATTCTGCAGTGCAGACGCACCCTTAATTGCTCAAATGCCATATGACATGAATAAATTGAATGCTGACACTTTCAAACTTCTAATGCCTTTTCCTTAAATTTTGTTTATCCTCCACCAATCCAGTGTTTTATGTCCACGTGATCCCCATCCTGCTATGTACAAACTAATTTTATTATTATTTATTTAAAACATTTATATTCCGCCCTTCTCACTCCGAGGGGGACTCAGGGCAGAGCACAGCATATACACGGCAAACATTCAATGCCGGCACACAGATTCACATACAATACATAAACATTAAAAAAAATTTATCAAAATATTAAAATACACCATTTAAATCCGTCCTAATGAGCAACATAGTTAACCAATTATCTTCCAACTCGGGATATTATATCATTTAGAATAATCCTGAAATTTTACTTTAAAGATATGATGGTGTCGAGTGTCATCAAACTCTTCTGTTACATTCTGAAAGAGATCTGTTGTTTGTTCACCTGTCAAAGGGATCAATGGGACAAAAAGATTATGAACCCCTGCTTTAAAAGAAACCTCTTGACCAGTACTTGGAATAATAATGATGGAATGGTGGGAAATGCAGCAGCTAAATTTAAAAATAAAAAATAGAAACCAATCAAATTTCATTAATTGTGACATCAGTAGGTTAAATGTTTTTGAATATTTACATAAAACTGTAATTTAATAATAATAATAATAATAATAATAATAATAATAATAATAATACTTTGTATTGTTGAAGGCTTTCATGGCTGGAATCACTCAGTTCTTGTGGGTTTTTTCGGGCTATATGGCCATGTTCTAGAGGCATTTCTCCTGACATTTCGCCTGCATCTATGGCAAGCATCCTCAGAGGTGAGGTCTGCTGGAGCTGGGAAAAAAGGGGCTTATATATCTGTGGAATGACCAGGGTGAGACAAAGGGCTTTTGTAAGTTGGGCTAGGTGTTAATCTTTCAACTGACCACCTTGATTAGCATACAATGGGCTGACTGTGCCTGGAGCAAACTCTTCTTGAAAGGTGATTAGATGTCCCTGCCTGTTTTTCTCTCTGCTGTTTCTTGCTGTTGCAATTTTAGAATTTTTTAATACTGGTAGCCAGATTTTGTTCATTTTCATGCTTTCTTCCTTTCTGTTGAAATTGTCCACATGTGTTTGGATTTCAATGGTTTCTCTGTGTAGTCTGACATGGTGGTTGTGAGAGTGGTCCAGCATTTTTGTGTTCTCAAATAAAATGCTGTGTCCAGGTTGGTTCATCAGGTGCTCTGCTATGGCTGATTTCTCTGGTTGGAGTAGTCTGCAGTGCCTTTAATGTTCCTTGATGCGTGTTTGGGCAATGCTGCATTTGGTGGTTCCTATGTAGACTTGTCCACAGCTGCATGGTATACGGTAGACTCCTGCAGAGGTGAGAGGATCCCTCTTGTCCTTTGCTGAACGTAGCATTTGTTGGATTTTCTTGGTGGGTCTGTAAGTGGTTTGTATGTTGTGTTTCCTCATCAGCTTCCCTATGCGGTCAGTGGTTCCCTTGATGTATGGCAGGAACACCTCCTCCAAGATGAACTGAACCACCTCAACTGGGCTCTCCAGGCCAATGGATACTCCACCTCAGACATCAGAAGAGCTGCAAGACCAAGAACAAGCCACGAGAGTCAAGATGAAGATCCACCCAGAAGAAAAACATTATTTTATCTGTTCTGGTTCGATTATACCAGGCATACCGGCTGTTGGGAATTGTGTGAGTTGAAGTCCAAAATACCTGGGGCCCTTCCACACAGCCCTATATCCCAGAGTAGCATGGAAGAAAATCCCACAATATCTGCTTTGAACTGGGTAATCAGAATCCACACTCAGATAATGTGGGGTTTTCTGCCTTGATATTCTGGGACATAGGGCTGTGTGGAAGGGCCCCTTGTTAGAAGTCAGCTCTTTGAACAAGTGATATTCATAAGTGGGCTGCTGTAGGTCTTTCGGGCTATATGGCCATGTTCTAGAACAGGAGTCCTCAAACTTTTTAAACAGAGGGCCAGGTCACAATCCCTCAAACTGTTGGGGGGGCAGATTATAATTTGAAAAAAAAACATGAATGAATTCCTATGCACACTGCACATATCTTATTTGTAGTGCAAAAAACACTTTAAAACAATACAATAATTAAAATGAAGAACAATTTTAACAAATATAAATTTATTAGTATTTCAATGGGAAGTGTGGGCCTGTTTTTGGCTGATGTGATAGGATTGTTGTTGTTGTTGTTGTGTGCTTTCAAGTCGTTTCAGACTTAGGTTGACCCTGAGCAAGGGCAGGATAAATGACCTTGGAGGGCTGTATCTGGCCCCCGGGCCTTAGTTTGAGGACCCTGTTCTAGAAGCATTCTCTCCTGACATTTCCCCTGCATCTATGCCAAGCATCCTCAGAGGTTGTGGGGATACTTGCCATAGATGCAGGCGAAACGTCAAGAAAGAATGCTTCTAGAACATGGCCATATAGCCCAAAAGATCTACAGCAGCCCAGTGATTCCGGCCATGAAAGCCTTCCACGATATTCATAAGCATTCATGTAATGGCACACAGGTAACTCGGCTGTTAAACCATGTCTTCAAACTACCAAGGGCTGTGTGGAAGGGCCCCTGGAGGGCCAAAGTTTGCCCATTCCTGGATTATACTCTCCTAAAACAGATCTTTTCCTGAATACTTGCAGGCAGGCGCCTTTTTTCTCGCTCAGGTGCCCATGCCTGTGACAGATGCACTATTAGTAAGTCAATATCCCTTACGTTGGGTTATCTGCACAGGCGTTCCTATTGCAAAGAGTAATAAGGTGGTACCCTACACAGAGAAAATTAAGTTTAATGTACAAAAACATACAAAAAACTGTTGGAAGTATAATGACCACGATGGGAGCTTCTTCCACATGGAGTGGACTTGTAAAGAATCCCAAAAATACTGGACAGCAATTCACGAGGAGTGTCAAAAGATCTTTATGAAAAAAAATCCCAACGAAACCAGAGTATTATCTAATAGACTCAGACTTAATATTAAACTCTAACAAGGATATCTTATTTCTGTACCTAATGACAGCCGCCAGGATTGCATATGCGAAATATTGGAAACAGAAGGGAATACCGGACACAGATCAGTACTTAAACAAAATAAGGGAAACAAAAGTCATGGATAAGCTCACATTTTTACTGAATAAGAACTCGGGAAACACGATCAGACAGACTAATTAGTCACAGATTGAGGAATATGAAAAAAGGAGAAAATAAAAGACTTATTAAAAGAATCTTTATCAAATGGAACTATCAGAAAAGGGGACCAATGGAATCATAGAGTTGGAAAAGACCTCATGGGCCATCCAATCCAACCCCCCACCAAGAAGCCAGAAAATTGCATTCAAAACACCCCCGACAGATGGGCATCCAACTTCTGTTTAAAAGCTTCCAAAGAAGGAGCAACGACCACACTCCAGGGCAGAGAGTTCCACTGCTGAATAGCTCTCACAGTCAGGAAGTTCTTCCTAATGTTCAGGAGGAATCTCCTTTCTTGTAGCTTGAAGCCATTGTTCCGCGTCCTAGTCTCCAGGGCAGCAGAAAACAAGCCTGCTCCCTCCTCCCTCCTCCCTGTGACTTCCCCTCACATATTTATACATGGCTATCATGTCTCCTCTCAGCCTTTTCTTCAGGCTAAACATGCCCAGCTCTTTAAGCCGCTCCTCATAGGGCTTGTTCTCCAGACCCTTGATCATTTGAATCGCGCTCCTCTGGACACTTTCCAGCTTGTCAATATCTCTCTTCAATTGTGGTGCCCAGAATTGGACACAATATTCCAGGACAGAATAGAGTCAAATTTTAGTTTTTAATTTTTAATACACATCTTATATGGAATGGAAGTGTATAAGACCGTGAAGGATGAGATGGAAGCCACCAGTTTTTGTTTTTGGGGTTTGTTTTCTTTTTCCTCTTTGCCGTTATCCCTCATTTTTTCTATTTTTTTCTTCATTTTATTGTTCTACTACTTTACATGTACAAACAAAATATTCCCCCTTATCCCCCCTCCCTTTTCTCCCTCTCTTACCCTAAATAAAAATATATTTTAAAAAAGAGTAATAAGGTGCCTGCTTAGGTGGAAGCGTTCCAGAAGCACTTTATTAGAGATTTAAGATTGTCCACACATGGCACTTACCCAAAAATCCTTATATTTCACTTGGCACACTCAGCACTTTTAATCTGTACCCATTGCACTTGGCCCGGCCTAGTTTTACTGTGTTATGGTGTACTAGCTGTCACCTGCCACGCGTTGCTGTGGCCCAGTCAGGTGAAAAATAAAGTAATGAGAAAGCGTTGGTTTCTGATATATGTAATTTCTTTATGCTTGTGGGTAAACAGTATTTCTTGCTTCTTCTTTGTCAGTGTTCTCATTACTACTCTGGAATATGCAACACATAATTGTCCTTCTTTAGGGGTCCCTTTCAGATCTATGATACTATATTTCCCTGGGTGTGAATCATATCTATCTCTCTATATCTATGGCTGGATGGCTCTTTGTCAGGAGGGCTTTGATTAAGTTTTCTTGCTCTGGTGAAGGGAGTTGGATTGGATGGTTTTCTGTTGGTCTTGGGGGCTCTGTGTGGGAAGTTTTCCATAATTCTCTTGTTCGTGGGGTTCAGAATGCTCTTTTATTGTAGGTGAACTATAAATCCCAGTAACTACAACTCCCAAATGTCAAGCTCTATTTCCCCCAAACTCCATCTGTGTTCATATTTGGGCATATGGAATATTTGTGCCAAGTTTGGTCTGGCTCTATCATTGTTTGAGTCCACAGTGCTCTCTGGATGTGGGTGAACTACAACTCCCTAACTCAAGGTCAATGTCCACCAAACCCTCTAGTGTTTTCTGTTGGTGATGGGAGTCCTGTGTGTCACGTTTGGTTCAATTCCATCATTGCTGGAGTTCAGAATGCTCTTTGATTGTAGGTGAACTATAAATCCCAGCAACTACAACTCCCAAATGACAAAATCATAATTTTTTGAGTGATGGTCATTCCTTGTGTTGTGAGATGTTTCGTTGCCAAATTTGGTGTGATTTCGTTCATTGGTTCTTTTGTTTTTAAGGAACTCATTATGCACAGAGCACTTATATATATATAGATAGTTTTTACTGTTTACTGTTATTGCTTTAATCTTTTTGGATTTGCTTTATGGTTTATGTGTATTGTTATACAGTTGTTTTTGAGGCCTCGGCCTGTGTAAGCCGCATCGAGTCCTTCGGGAGATGTTAGTGGGGTACAAATAAAGTTAATAATAATAATAATAATAAGCGGGCAATGTCTCTTGTAAGTCTGTTTCTGTTGATGATGAACAAGAGAAGCAAACAGTGCAGAAATGCATTGTATGCCCCGCAGCCCTGACAGCCGTCTTCAGTGGGTTCTTGTGGGTTTTTTCGGGCTATATGGCCATGTTCTAGAGGCATTTTTCCTGACGTTTCGCCTGCATCTATGGCAAGCATCCTCAGAGGTAGTGAGGTCTGTTGGAAATAGGAAAATTGGTTTATATATCTGTGGAATGACTGGGGTGGGGCACAGAGCTCTTCTCTGCTGAAGCTAGGTGTGAAAGTTTCAGCTGACCACCCTCATTAGCATATGAAGGCCTGGCTGAGCCTGGGAAAATGTTTTGTTGAGAGGTGTTAAGATGTGCCTGGTTGTTTCCTCTCTGCTGTTTTGCTGTTGTAATTTTAGAGTTTTTTAATACTGGTAGCCAGATTTTGTTCATTTTCATGGTCTCCTCCTTTCTGTTGAAATTGTCCACATGCTTGTGGATTTCAATGGCTTCTCTGTGTAGTCTGACATGGTGGTTGTGGTGTGGTCCAGCATTTCTGTGTTCTCAAATAATATGCTGTGTCCAGGCTGGTTCATCAGGTGCTCTGCTATGGCTGACTTCTCTGGTTGAAGTAGTCTGCAGTGCCTTTCATGTTCCTTGATGCGTGTTTGGGCGCTGCGTTTGGTGGTCCCTATGTAGACTTGTCCACAGCTGCATGGTATACGGTAGACTCCTGCAGAGGTGAGAGGATCCCTCTTGTCCTTTGTTGAACGTAGCATTTGTTGGATTTTCTTGGAGGGTTTGTAGATTGTTTGTATGTTGTGTTTCCTCATCAGCTTCCCTATGCGGTCAGTGGTTCCCTTGATGTATGACAGGAACACTTTTCCTCTGGGTGGATCTTCATCTTGACTCTCGTGGGTTGTTCTGAAGATCAATTACAACAGCAAAACAACAGAGAGGAAACAACCAGGCACATCTTAACACCTATCAGCAAGATTTTCCCAGGCTCAGGCAGGCCTTCAAATGCTAATGAAGGTGGTCAGTTGAAACATTCACACCTAGCTCCAGCAGAGAAGAGCTCTTTGCCCCACCCCAGTCATTCTACAGATATATAAACCCATTGTCCTATTTCCAACAGACCTCACTACCTCTGAGGATGCTTGCCATAGATGCAGGCGAAACGTCAGGAGAAATGCCTCTAGAACATGGCCCTATAGCCCGAAAAAACCCACAAGAACCTAGTGATTCCAGCCATGAAAGCCTTCGACAATAATAATAATAATAATAATAATAATAATAAGCGGGCAATGTCTCTTGTAAGTCTGTTTCTGTTGACGATGAACAAGAGAAGCAAACGGCGCAGAAATGCATTGTATGCCCTGACAGTGGCTCTGCGCATGCGTGGACTCAAGCCCACCCCACACTACCCTTCCGATAATGTCGCCGGGCGTTGTCTCCCCAGCCTCAAGTCGACTTAGTCGGAAGAGAAGGGAGGGGCGTCGAGCCTAGCCCCCTGATTGGTCAGACTTTTTGTGCTCTGAGCGAGGGAGGCAAAGAGAGACCGGAAGTCCCGCCCTCGATCTCTCCCTTTCTTCCTGGGCATCTTCTCCTCAGAAAATGTCGGCGCTCAAGAGGAGGGAGGAGCTCGGATTCCAGTCTCCTGATTGGCCAGACTCTTCCAGCCTCTGAGAGGGAGGGAGCGACCCAGGGAGACAAGTAGAGGCCGGAAGTCCCGCCCTCGGCCCTTCCCTTCACTCCTGAGCGTCTTTCTCGCCTCAGAAAACTCTCCTCAGAAAATGTCGGCGTTGCAGCTGAACTTGGGGCCCGCGAAGGAGCCCTTAGGCTTCATCAAAATCCTGCAATGGGTAAGTCCGGAGGGCCTGAGGGGCAAGGCAACGATAAGCGGGGCCGGTTGACGCCCTCACTGCCTCCCCTGTGTTTTGAGGCCTAAACCCCATGCTCCGCCGCACCCACCGAGACCGTGAACTCGCCCTTGCGTAAGGAGTCGGCTCGGGGGAGCTGTTTGCCGCTTGGAAGGGGGCTCGTGCCCTCTCCGCACTGACCATTGAGTACAGCTCGGAACTAGCCTCAAACTGGTCTGGCGGTCAGACCACAAATGCCCACAAAAGCGCGCAAAAGAGAGCACAGTGTTCTGGGGATTGACTCGTCACCACTTGGGCCTCAAACCGGTTCCAGGTTTGAGACCCAGAATTCACAGAATCATCGCGTTGGAAGAGACTGCATGGGCCATCTAGTCCAACCCCCTGCCATGCCTGCCAAGTGACAAGTGGAGTGCCGCAGGGTTCTGTCCTGGGCCCGGTCCTATTCAGGTTAATTATTAATGCCTTAGAGGAAGGGTTAGATGGCATGATCATCAAGTTTGCAGATGGGACCCAACTGGGAGGGATAGCCAATACTCCAGAAGACAGGAGCAGAATTCAAAACGATCTTGACAGATTAGAGAGATGATGGGCCAAAACTAACAAAATGAAGTTCAACAGGGACAAATGCAAGATACTCCACTTTGGCAGAAAAAACGAAATGCAAAGATACAGAATGGGGGATGCCTGGCTTGAGAGCAGTACGTGTGAAAAAGATCTTGGAGTCCTCGTGGACAACAAGTTAAACATGAGCCAACAATGTGATGTGGCGGCAAAAAAAGCCAATGGGATTTTGGCCTGCATCAATAGGAGCATAGTGTCTAGATCTAGGGAAGTAATGCTACCCCTCTATTCTGCATGGTTAGACCACACCTGGAATATTGTGTCCAATTCTGGGCACCACAATTCAAGAGAGATATTGACAAGCTGGAATGTGTCCAGAGGAGGGCGACTAAAATGATCAAGGGTCTGGAGAACAAGCCCTATGAGGAGCGGCTTAAGGAGCTGGGCATGTTTAGCCTGAAGAAGAGAAGGCTGAGAGGAGATATGATAGCCATGTATAAATATGTGAGAGGAAGCCACAGGGAGGAGGAGGGAGCAAGCTTGTTTTCTGCTTCCTTGGAGACTAGGACGCAATGGAGCAATGGCTTCAAACTACAAGAGATGGACTACATGTCCATCTGAACATGAGGAAGAACTTCCTGACTGTGAGAGCCGTTCAGCAGTGGAACTCTCTGCCCCGGAGTGTAGTGGAGGCTCCTTCTTTGGAAGCTTTTAAGCAGAGGCTGGATGGCCATCTGTCGGGTGATTTGAATGCAGTATTCCTGCTTCTTGGCAGGAGGTTGGACTGGATGGCCCATGAGGTCTCTTCCAACTCTTTGATTCTATGCAGGAAAAGCACAATCAAAGCACCCCTGACAGATAGCCATCCAGCCTCTGTTTAAAAGCCTTAAAGGAAGGAGTTTCGATCACACTCCGAGGCAGAAAATTCCACTATTGACCAGCTCTTCTTATAGTTAGGAAGTTCTTCCTGATGATCAGGTGGAATCTACTTTAATGTAATTTGAGCCCATTGCTCCAAGTCCAGGGCAGTGGGAAAACAAGCCTCCTCCCTCTTCCTTTTGATTTCATATACTATCAGCCTATATAAATGAGCCCCCGGTGGCGCAGTGGGTTAAATTCCTGTGCAGGCAAGACTGAAGACGACAGGTCACAGGTTTGAATCCGGGGAGAGCGTGGATGAGCTCCCTCTATCAGACATGAGAGAAGCCTCCCACAAGGATGATAAAACATCCGGGTGTCACCTGGGCAATGTCCTTGCAGACGGCCAATTCTCGCACACCAGAAGCGACTTGCAGTTTCTCAAGTCACTCCTGACACACACATAAAAAAGCCTATATAAAAGCCTTTGGGAACCATTAAAAACACATAAAACCACTACCTTCACTACTAGGCTGCCATCCAAAAACATTGTCTACAGCTCTTCATACAGTTAGGAAGTTTTTCCTAATGCTCAGGTGGAATCTCCTTTAATGTAATTTGAGCCCATTGCTCCAAGTCCTAGTCTCCAGGACAGCAGAAAACAAGCCTCCTCTCTTTTGATTTCCTATATTATCAGCCTATATAAAGGAGCCCCCGGTAGCACAGTGGGTTAAACCCCTGTGCAGGCAAGACTGAAGACAACAGGTCGCAGGTTTGAATCCGGGGAGAGCGTGGATGAGCTCCCTCTATCAGTTCCAGCTCCTCCTGCGGGGACATGAGAGAAGCCTCCCACAAGGATGATAAAACATCAAAATATCCGGGCGTCCCATGGGCAGTGTCCTTGCAGACGGCCAATTCTCTCACACCAGAAGTGGCTTGCAGTTTCTCAAGTCGCTCCTGACACAACAAAAAAAAGCCTATATAAAAGCCTTTGGGAACCTAGTGCAATAGATTACCATGGAAACCATGTGAAATCGAATACTGGAAGGCTTAGACCAGGGGTCCTCAAACTTTTTAAACAGAGGGCCAGGTCACGGTCCCTCAAACTGTTGGAGGGCCGGGTTATAATTTGAAAAAAGCATGCATGAATTCCTATGCACACTGCACACATCTTATTTGTAGTGCAAAACAACCCACTTAAAAACAATATAATAATTAAAATGAAGAACAATTTTAACAAATATAACCTTATTAGTATTTCAGTGGGGTGTGTGGGCCTGCTTTTGGCTGATGAGATAGGGTTGTTGTGTGCTTTCAAGTCATTTCAGACTTAGGCTAACCCTGAACAAAGGCCAGGTAAATAACTTTGGAAGGCCGTATACAGCCCCCGGGCCTTAGTTTGAGGACCCTTGGCTTAGACAATGTTTTTGGACGACCGGGCTAGTAGTGAAGGTAGTGGTTTGTTTTTTTAAATGGTTTTAATGTATGTATTTTGTAATTCTGTTTTAAATGTTTATTGTAATTTTTACATTGTTTTAATGACATTGAATAGTCGCTTATGTTGTAAAGCCGCCTTGAGTCACCTTCGGGTTTGAGAAAGGTGAGGTAGAAACATCGTAAATAAATAATCACCTGTGCTGTGAAACCTTTGCAGCCAAAGGTGGCGGACATCCATCCAGTCGGTGAAAACAAGACCTGGGGCTGACTGTAGCTCAGATCACGAACTTCTTATTGCTCAATTTAGAATAAAACTAAAGAGATCAGGGAAAATACACAGACCAGTTAGATATGATCTCACTAACATTCCTAGCGAATATACAGTGGAAGTGAAGAACAGATTTGAAGGACTAGATTTAGTAAACAGAGTCCCAGAAGAACTATGGACAGAAAGTCCGAGACATTGTTCAGGAGGCGGCAACAAAGTACGTCCCAAAGAAAAAGAAAACCAAGAAGGCAAAATGGTTGTCTGCTGAGACACTGGATGTAGCCCAAGAAAGGAGGAAAGCAAAAGGAAACAGGGATAAGGGGAGATATGCCCAGTTAAATGCGCAATTCCAGAGGTTAGCCAGAAGAGATAAGGAACTATTTTTAAATAAGCAATGCATGGAAGTTGAAGAAGACAACAGAATAGGAAGGACAAGAGACCTCTTCCAGAAAATTAGAAACATTGGAGGTAAATTTCAGGCAAAAATTGGTATGATAAGAAACAAAGATGGCAGGGACCTAACAGAAGCTGAAAGAGATCAAGAGAAGGTGGCGAGACTATACAGAAGATCTGTATAGGAAGGATAATAATATTGAGGATAGTTTTGACGGTGTGGTGAATGAATTAGAACCAGACATCCTGAGGAGTGAGGTTGAATGGGCATTAAGAAGCATTGCTAACAACAAGGCAGCAGGAGATGACGGGATCCCAGCTGAACTGTTTAAAATCTTAAAAGATGATGCTGCCAAGGTGATGCATGCCATTTGCCAGCAAATATGGAAAACACAAGAATGGCCATCAGACTGGAAAAAATCAACTTATATCCCCATACCAAAAAAGGGAAATGCGAAAGACTGCTCAAACTTCCGTACAGTGGCCCGTATTTCTCATGCCAGTAAGGTAATGCTCAAGATCCTGCAAGGAAGACTCCAGCAATACATGGAGCGAGAGTTGCCAGATGTTCAAGCTGGGTTTAGAAAAGGTAGAGGAACGAGAGACCAAATTGCCAATATCCGCTGGATAATGGAGAAAGGCAGGGAGTTTCAGAAAAACATCTACTTCTGCTTCATTGACTATTCTAAAGCCTTTGACGGTGTGGATCATAATAAATTGTGGCAAGTTCTTAGTGGGATGGGCATCCCAAGCCACCTTGTCTCTCTCCTGAGGAATCTGTACAAGGACCAAGTAGCAACAGTCAGAACTGACCACGGAACAACAGACTGGTTCAAGATTGGGAAAGGCGTACGGCAAGGCTGCATCCTCTCACCCAACCTTTTTAACTTGTATGCAGAACACATCATGCGATGTGCAGGGCTTGACAAATACAAGGCAGGGGTGAAAATTGCTGGAAGAAACATTAACAACCTTAGATATGAAGATGAGACCACTTTGATGGCCGAAAGCGAGGAGGAGCTGAGGAGCCTTCTAATCAAGGTGAAAGAAGAAAGCGCAAAAGCTGGGTTGCAGCTAAACATCAAAAAAACCAAGATTATGGCAACAAGAATGATTGACAACTGGGAAATAGAGGGAGAAAACGTGGAGGCTGTGACAGAATTTGTATTTCTAGGTGCAAAGATGACTTCAGCTGCAGACTGTGGCCAGGAAATCAGAAGACGCTTCCTTCTTGGGAGGAGAGCAATGTCCAGTCTCGATAAAATAGTAAAGAGTAGAGACATCAGACTGGCAACAAAGATCCGCCTAGTCAAAGCCATGGTATTCCCTGTAGTAACCTACGGATGTGAGAGCTGGACCTTAGGGAAGGCTGACCGAAGGAAGATCGATGCTTTTGAGCTGTGGTGTTGGAGGAAAGTTCTGAGAGTGCCTTGGACTGCGAGAAGATCCAACCAGTCCATCCTCCAGGAAATAAAGCCCGACTGCTCACTGGAGGGAAAGATACTAGAGAAAAAGTTGAAGTACTTTGGCCACATCATGAGGAGACAGGAAAGCCTAGAGAAGACAATTATGCTGGGGAAAGTGGAAGGCAAAAGGAAGAGGGGCCGACCAAGGGCAAGATGGATGGATGGCATCCTTGAAGTGACTGGACTGACCTTGAGGGAGCTGGGGGTGGTAACGGCCGACAGGGAGCTCTGGCGTGGGCTGGTCCATGAGGTCACGAAGAGTCGGAGACGACTGAACGAATGAACAACAACAACAACACTGTGAAACCACTGATATGAAACTGCACTCAAATGGTCAGTAGAGATGGGGACCTAAATCCTTGAAACCGGCCATGCTTTCTTAGGCCCTTTCTTTCTCCATATCAAGTTTGCATATTTGTTCTGTTTTCAAACAAGCCATGGCCTCCTGGCCTTCGGGAAAAAAGTAACTTGGCTGTGGGACCAAGTCTTTGGGCAGTAAGCAATACAAGGAATGATTAAGGATTATGTGCAATTGATATATGATATGGCCTGGACTACAATTTCTGGATTATGTGATTTTAATGTTTATATTAATATGTTTTTAACTCCACATTTTAATATCCAAATGTTATGTTTTTATGATCAAATTGATAATGATAATTATATGTTATTGTTGTTTTATGTTAGGTTTCATATATATATGAGGCATTAAATTTTGCCATAAATATGTTTGAGCCCCCCCAGGTGAGAAAAGCGGTAAACAAGTGAAGTAAATAAATATGTTTCCAGGCTGGGAGTTTTCTGTGTGATCAGCCAGGAGGGGAATTAGAGACCACACTTGAGTAATTTGAGTTTCTCTGGCTGGGTCTCCAATGCCAAATAATGCAGTTCTGTCTGCATTGTTTGGCAGTGTAGATCCAGCCTCTGTCCCTTTTGGAGTGAGCTGTTGTAGCTAGTATTGTGGATTTTACAACCTTGCAGGCTTTATTTGGCTGAAGCCTTCATGATTTTAGCCCAGGTCACCAGAAACATTGAACTAAAAACAGGACTGAGAACCCTTTTTAGATGTTTTTGGATTTAAGCTTCCATTGGGACTGAGCTACACCAATAAAGGTCTTTATACATCAAAGCTAATACTTTGAATTATTCCTAGAAATAGACTGGCAGCTGGTGAAGCTGTCGCAACAAAGGAGTTGTTCCAGGAAGGTTGGGGAGTTCAAGGCACTAGCTTGAGGAGAAGAAAATAGTTTGACGTATTTCATTGGAAATTCTCTTTTTGGTAATTGCATTTTTGGTTCCCATTTTTGGTTCCCAAGTAGATTGTGACTGTTCTGGGATTGTGGAATGAAAATACTATTACACGCTGTTGGTTAAATCTAGAGATAGATGGTGATTTTTTTTTTTTACATTATCCTCATTTAAGTGGTTTTGTAATAAGCATATAAAATATATAACTTTCCCAGGACAGGATATAGATTGTTTGATAAATTTTTAAAAAGGTAACTGAGGCCCCTTCCACACAGCTGTATGAAATCCAAATTGAACTGGATTATTTGGCAGCGTGGACTCAGATAATCCAGTTCAAAGCAGATATTGTGGGTTATCTGCCTTGATATTCTGGGTTATATGGCTGTGTGGAAGGGCCCTAAGTATTCCTGTATGGTAGGGGGGTGAATTGTACAGCCGTTGTCATCCCTTCCAGCCTTATGAGTCTTATCGTTCTAACTTTCCTTTTCATTTCCACTTGAAATTGTGTTGGGTTTTTAACACCAGAAGAAGTACGAACTGTGTACAACCTAGTTAAATAAGCTATGTAGGAGTTGTAGTAGGATATGGTCAGGTAACTTTGCATAGTGAGATGTTCTAGTAGGAGAGATCCAGCGAGTTTTTAACAAAAGGCATTGTTTCAATTGTTGGAAACAGTACAGTATTCTGTTGTGGCTAGTGGTTGGGAAGATACTGATCTACAGTTGGTTTTCAACAGATCGGCTGAGGTTGTTTCGACACTTGTTTCTACAGCAGCAGCAACAAAAAAGTTCATTTTCTTTCTCCCACTCCATTATGCTTTTATAAACCCTGCTCTTTTAAATATAGATTTATAATTGAATATACAGATTAACCAGGACTTGGAAATGTTACTAGACTCATTGAGTTGGCAGTCTAGAAAACTTTGCGATGTAGATGTGGATTTTTTATCCTTATTAGTCATTGTGGTCTTCTTGCCCAGATACCTCATTATTAATTTTTGCAAAAATGTGGTAAACAGTAATTGGAAGGGGGAGAATAGTATATAGTATATTCAAAATAAACACATCTGTTTATAATATAGAAATTTGTCAATCAGAAAGAAAGGAAGAAAACAATTAAGTGAACACTTTCATTTTCCCTATCTACTACTACATACATATACATTCTTTCTCCCACACCCTGTTTCCCCCCTCATTGATTGTTAGAGGAATTCCAGCAGCACCTTTTTATTCCCAAACTCTCAACTTTCCTGTTCACAGTATTTGTTTGGGACAGAAAGGCAGAGCATAAAATATGCTTTGTCTGGAAAATGTAAATGTAGATTCATAACAGAGTTCTTCCAGATGTGTACCAAAACTGGGATTCTGTGATTGTTTATGAAATCATCAAGGCACTTTTTAAGAAAAGTGTGGTAAAAAAGAAGTAGGTCTGTTTCCTGATTAAAGAAATATTACTCAATTAATCGTATAAATTGATTAACACTGCAATACATACTTCACAGGAAATAAGGTGCATTAGATTCAGTGATATAAATCGGATTGTGTTGCTTCTTTCTTATCTCTTTTATTACAGATGCTTTCCTTCAAACAACTCCAAAACATGGTTGCACTCACAATTTTTATGCTTTTAAAAACTCTGAGGTTGATCAGGGTGAGAGTTGATGACTAGCCAAAGATCACCCAGCGAGCTTCAAGCTTGAGTACAAATTTGAAGTTTTATCTCTGTGGTCAAACCCTCTAACTAATGCACTAGACTGACTCTTGCGTTATCACCAAAACAGGGACTTAAACATCAGATACTGGCATTGGAAGTCTGATCCTGGCATTGAAAGTCTAATCTGCCACCAACTGAGCTATCAGAACATGCCATGAGAAAGAAACAGTACTTCTGAAGTCAGGAGTACCTTTTAAATGCTGCCAAGTGTCGAGTAGACAAGTAGTACAATTCATTAGTGCTATAGAGATACGGAATCCAATTCTCGTTCAGCCATGAGGTATGATAGCTATACCCCACCCTTCAGTGTTGTCTTCACCATGTGCATACCATGTTACTAGTGATAACAGGTTACATTGAGTAATTGCTGAACTGCATTGCCTGTCTTTCTCCATCTTTACTCTGACTGGATAGAGGGAGTCTAAATTGGAAACTTTTAGTACCTGTAACGCCACAGTCCCTCATCCCTCCGGGACAGAATACATGTGACAATTATAGCAGGACAGCTCCATTGAGTTTTGTTATGTTGATCTGATGTTGCTTCATAATCATTCTTGAGCAGAGGTGCTCTAACTTCAAGTCTTGCACCATGGAAAAACATTGTGTGTTAAAAAGTATGTTAAGCATATATGAACAATTTTGCATAAATGGTTTATCCATTTGTTTGCCTTAAGCCTGACAACTCTTATTTTCTGCAGATTTTCTTAGTTAAGGGGAGGGGAGGTGGCAGGAAGCAGAAATGTAAGAGTGTGGACTAAACTTTCAAAATCAAAAACTTGCCTTCTTGGAAAAGGTCTATACAAACAATGCAGTGGACTGTTGTGCCAATAATTCAGTTTATATTTTTTGCAAAATATAATGTAATTTCCCCTCAACCCCCAAAATATAATGGAATTAATTTTATTAAAAAATCGAGATGATGGTGGTAATAGTTAGTTAGGCTCTCAGTGTTTGATTTTTTTGTGACATAAGATAAATGATAAAGATAAAAACGTTCAAGCAGTACAATTCTGCCTTGCATGTAGTTCCTTCCCTCTTTGCTTTGTACGATGTCTTTACCTGAAAGGACTCTATACCCCACCCCTTCCCCAAAGGCAATGGCTTAAGGTTGGTTCTTCAAAGAAGTTCCCAGGACACCAGCAATTTGAGTTCCACCCATGAGTAATGACTTCGATAAAGCAGCAGAAACTTCTCCCTTGACCTCAAAGGGATAGTAAAATGCATGTATTTCCTCCTACTACTATATTTGCCTACATATTTGAAATGTTGCACTAATACTTATTTTTGTCTTGGGCCTTTTTTAGATTTTCTCTATCTTTGCCTTTGCTACCTGTGGAGGTTACAGTGGAAAAACATCCATTTTCCTCACCTGTCGTGATAACAAAAATGTGACTTTGGAAGCTAATTTTGGCTACCCTTTCAGGTAAAATATTTATCTGTGACTCTTTTGTCAACATACATAGAAATCCGTATAATTGTTTCTACAGTAAAACACAGTAAATGACCTTGAAATTGCAGCCTGTGACAGAGGACTGCTGAATGTGCTGGCCTTATTCTGGTTGAAGAAAATCCTGGAGCAGTATGCCTATCTAGGTTGAGGGTGTTGTGTTGTGTTTTTGTTTTTTTAGTTCATCAAAATGGTTTTATATGTCAGTATTCTTTGCCTTAAAAAAGTAATCCTGCAAAAAAAGATCTTTCTGTTCTGTAAATGTTTTACCCTATATAACATTCCCTGCTCATTCCATGTGCTTTGAAAACAGATGTAGTAATAATACAGCCCAATAAGACTTTTAGTAGCCATGAGATCTACAGGTAGTGGTCACAAAATTGTTTTTTCTAAAGAACTCTTAGGGTCAAGCTGGAAAAGATTTTGGAGATTCATTGTGTTTTTCAATTTCTGTTAAGGGCAATTCCAAAATGGAAAACAACAATAGTGCAAGTTTCAGCTCAATAGGAAATTTTACACCAGAAAGTAATAGAATAAGATTCAGAGGGTTCATTGTGCGCCTCTTTAGTTCTCTGGTACCTTTCCTTCTCTCTCGTTTATTTTAATAGAAATACTGTACAGCGAGACATTATGATCAGAAGATGTCTGGCATCTTACCTAATTTTGATTCCCAGATGCTGCATCTATACGTGCGCAATCAAACCATTGTTGCCTTTCAAATCCAGAGTAGCCTATGCTGTCTTCAAGTTGATGTTATTGTGTTCTTTTTAGTTTAAAACTTTGTTGATGGAGATGGAACAAAACCACATTTTCAAAATGTTCTCTTTTTATTGTCCCAATTTAAGGTTGAACAAGGCTACTTTTGATTCTTTCGAACGATCACAATGCAACACGTCATGGACCACGGTCCACCTGGTGGGAGACTACTCCTCTTCAGCACAATTCTTTGTTACCTTTGCAGTCTTGGTATTCCTGTACTGCATGGGCGCTTTGGTGCTGTATTTGGGCTATCTGCATTTATATCGGGGTGCTGGCAAACTCCCAATGATTGTAAGTTGATAGCTTTTTATTTCTCCATAATGTATCAAATGTGGCAAGCTACAAATATTGCCTAACAATGTTTCAGAAAAATGCAGATTAATTTGATGCTATTTTGAGGAGAAAATTGGGAAGGAAATCCAGCAAGGAAGCAAATAAAAGAATAAATTTCTTTGTGCTCTATGCTCCTTAAAAGAGAGAAATAATTAGGCTGGTATGTACGTACCGTCACCCCTCCACATTAGCAGGGTTTAGGAGTTTAGGCTCCCCGCAAAAGTGGAAGAATACAAATATATTGGTGGTAGGGGAAAGTCCTCAGGTTTGCCAAGTGATTGGTTGGGAGGCTTCCTGAATGGCAGGCATGAAGAATCAGTGCTAGCTCTGTAGCCTAGGGACTGTGTGCATGAATAATGCAGCAGGCCTGACTTCAGAAGGGTGAGCCAAGTGATCCCCACTACTGCCCATCGCCTAAAGCTTCAGTTGTTGTGTACACACTCAAACAGTACCCCTGGCTTCAAAGGCAAGGACAAATGGTCTCTGCCACCTCCTGAAGCAGGGCTGCCATGCTTACATTCACACAGCAGCTTCAGGAGGTATGAGGGGAGGCAGTGGCAGCAGCTGTCACTAACTCCTAGCTGTTTTAGAGTAAGCTCCCAAGGTTTGAGAGTTTAGTCCATTCTGGGAAACCATTAAAACAGCAACTGATCTTGTGTTAAGGCTTCCCTGTACATGGCAGAGAGCAAATTGTAAGGTACTTTTTTGTTCTCTCTCAGCATGAAATAAGTTCCCATAGTGTGATAGGAGCTTAGTCCATGGGAAAGTCTGAAAGAAGCAATGCCCACTCTGGTACTGCTGTTTGGGGCTTATTTGCCACAGTTGAGAAAGCAGAGGAAAGAGGATGTGCTTCTTATTGTAGTAATAATTTTATTCTTGTATCCCGCCACCATCTCCCCAAAGGGACTTGGGGCGGTTTACACATGGCACAGGGTGCCTAAATACAGAACATAAAATGGAAAAAAATTACAATTAAAATCAAATGGAGATATAAACAACAAATAACATTCAATTAAAAACAACACTTATCAGCAAATGGAGGTAAGCTGTTATAAATGTGGCCAGATACTAAACAATTGACTGGGAATGGGATAAGTGCAAAGCTGTCCCTCAGCACAGAATAAGCTCCAGAGTGAGATAGGAATTCATTCCATGCCGGGAGAGTCTGAAAGAAGCAACACCCACTCTTGGCATGGAGAAGCAGAGAGAGACAGCCTCAGGTTTGGGAGGTGGCTGGTAGCAATCTTCACTCTCACCACCTGGTGAGTGTACACATAACAGCCTCAACTTCAGGTGATAGGTTGGGTTGGCACTCACTTGCCTTCTTCTCCTGACTGTGCACATGACAGCTCTGGCTTTAGGGGGCAGATGGTAGTGATTTCTTTCCCCCTGAAACCCAAGAGTCTCAAGTCTTTAGGGAGAAGGCGTGGCTGCAGTGTCCAGCCACCAGGAATGCATTCCTGCTCCTTATCCCAAACAGGCTGAATCAAGGTTTGGTGTCCCTTAACATTCTTATCTCTGTTGGCAAAGGAACTCAAGCCAAGCATCGCTTCTCTCCTGGGAAATGAGGAAATCACCCCAAATGGGGCAATGGCAAATCCACAGATATCAAAAGGGGGTGGGGACCATCTGTAATGGCTTGTTTTACTTTAACAAAACTTATAATTTAAAATAGTTAAAAGGGTATTATTTTCAAATAGTATTTAAATACTGATTATTTTCCACTTTAAAGCACTATTTCTCTTATTAGGTAGTAGTATCAGAACCTGTGTAAGTTACTTTTTTGAATTACAGTTCTTAGTATTTCCATTCCATGCCAAAAATAACTTTTCCAAACTCTGGAAAATAGTAGGATTTCCTGTATACTGCTTGGTTAATTACCATATTTCCTCATCTTTTTTCTACTAAATTGCATTGCCAAAATTGAGGTGCACATTAGATTCGATGGCACATTAGAATTGCGTAAATAAACCCACTTGGGTGAAAAGGCCCAGAGGAACCCAGAGTCCTGGAGGCCAGACATGGAGGCAGGGGCTGTGAAGAGGCTGCTCCTGGTGGCGGCCCCAGAAAAGGAGGAGGAGTGCCTGACTGGTGATCTAATTGTTCCCGATGCTGCCTCCTGGGGGCAGTCCTTGGGGTCTCTCACTCGCTCCCTGGGGCTCAGTCCCATGTGGTTCCCAACTGTCCTCATTCACGAGGCCTTCAAAACATCCTTGGTTTTGAAGGCCTCATGAATGAGGACAGTTGGGAATTGCCAGCCTTAGCCTAGCAAAGGGATGTGACTTCCCAAATGGCCTTATTCATGCTGCCTGCCTCCCTGACATACTATGACTGCACTGTTGGATTAATTATGTTTGAGGGCAAATCCATTTTTGTAAAGTGCACCTTCAAAATTGAGGTGTGCATTATAGTCAATTAAATACGAAAAAAAATCCTTTGGTATTTTAAGCTTCGGAATTATTTCAGTGGCTTTCCTTGACTTTTCTTTGTAGCACACCTGCAAGGTGGGTTGCAATATTATAGCATTCAACTGATGGTGATCTGGGGCTGAGAGACAAATACTTGACTGAGACTACTTTGATAGTGTGTCCTCTTGTTAGTGTGTCCTATAAATCCCTATTGTTTACTTTGGAATTATTCCAAAGCTTACTTCGTATTTGGCCTATGCTTGATTTTTTGCAATCCATAATGTGTGTTTTTGTACACATTTTAAAAGTCAATTTATTGAATATGAAGCACACCCCTTCGCCCCAAAATATTTGAGGTGCTGGTTTCCCTTAGTGCAGAAAAAGTCTTGGTACACTCCCCTCACCTTCCCTCTTAAAATATGATGCAATTATTCTTTCTTTTTTCCTTCTGTGTTTGCCATTGGGATCCCAGGAGCACAGGTAAGTGTGCCATTCCTTTCTGTTTATTGAATTACATCATTATTATTAAGGCAGGACATTGAGAGAGACTGACAGGCTTGTCAGGCCCACAGACCATTACTTCTTCGATTTAGTCCATGTGGGAACACGCTAAAATTATCAGGTCCTACATTATCCTCACCTGTCTTGCAGACAATTTCATGGTCCAGAAGATGGAAGAGACAACAAGAGTATCAACTATTTTAGATCTGATTCTAACCAACAGTGAAGAGCTGGTAAATGGAATGGATGTGACATGTTCCTTAGACAGAGGTGCCCATGTTCTCCCAGAGGTTGTTATACAGTGGAAGTCAAGCATTGTCAGACTTTAAGAGAGGTGATTTCAGTCAACTTAGGGAACAAGTGAGTTCGATCCCATGGCCAGGAATATTAAAAGAGGTTCATGATCAATGGGACTTTCTGAAAAATAAGATATTGGAGGCAAAAATAAAAAAAAAACACTTCCAATGGAGAGGAAAAATAAGAACTTTCACCTGAGCTAAGATTAAAAGAAATATGTTTCATTTTCAAGCACTGTATCAATGCAGTCTGGAATCTGAATATTCATGATGGAAATAGTTTGTACTTGTAATAAATCATTAATTGAGGTTATTGTTTCAATTTCCCCTTTCTTGTTTATGATCGGCCATTGAAAGTCCTTTAATAATATTGTACATTTTTGTTTGGAGAAGTTTCTGTCTAGCCAACCCTATTGAATTTTTGTGGTTCTTTGTAATGAGGAATGTTGCTGTGTGTAGGGTGTTCATCTCTACCAGACATCTCCCTGGGCCATTCCTGAGGTAGTGGGTGGTGCAAGTGATATCTACTAGACTCTATTTCTGCCTTTCTGTATTTGTATGTGTTTAAAGGTAATTATAAATCCTGTCAACGTAGAGCCGCATGCAAATAGTGCAGCCATCTTGGCCAGGATCCAGTGAACCATGGCTTCTAATTAAAGTTTGAAGTTTGATATCCAACTGTGGTTTGTTTTTAGGGATGAGTTTAGATACGACAACAAGCCAGAATACACCAGCTCATGTCTAGCTTACTATTACATGTGAACTTGGCTGTTGACTTCAGCACTACTTTAAGGGAGGCTTCACAGCACTATACTAAACAGTTTGGGACCTGCCTACCTTCGTGACTGTATCTCTCTCCATGAACCAACCCGGGGCCTTCGATCTTCGGGGGAGGCCCTCCTTTCAGTCTCACAAGCTCGTGTTGTGGGCACAAGAGAGAGAGCCTTCTCTGTGGCTCCCCATCTCTGGAACTCATTACCCGGAGAGATGAGGAAAGCCCCTACACTATAAACTTTTTAAAAGACCCTTAAAACCTGGCTCTTCTGCTGTGCCTTTGGCGAGTAGGTGCATAACATGACACTACTGCTCCCCTCAACGCTTCTGTCACTGGAGTACACCCCCCCCCCCCAATGGGAAGTTTGGTTTCCCAACCCTGTGTTTCTTTATGAGCTCCCTGCAAATAACTTGCTCCTCTTCTTATCTCATTCAAGTTTTTAAACATTTTATCCTGTACATGTGGCCCGCCCACTGTCACAGTGATTGTGTTTATTGTAATGTTATTTTGTTACTGTATTCATATGTTTTTGATTTGTTTTGTTTTTAAATGTAATTTTGATGCTGTTGCTTGTTGCTTATGTTTTGGTTTTATTTTGCTGTAATATGTTGTCCGGGCTTGGCCTCATGTAAGCCGCCCCGAGTCCCCATTAGGGAGATGGTGGCAGGGTATAAATAAAGATTATTATTATTATTATTATTATTATTATACTTAGCATACCTCATTTCCTTGTTAAATGAGTGGATACTAAGCATGGCAGATAGGATTTTGTTCCCCCGTTCATTTGCCCTCCTCATTAAAGCCTGCCCAAAGGGAGGTCCCAATTTCACAAAAAAGCCTCCCCTCTCAAGCCAGGCTTTTCACGTATTGGAAAGAGTACCAGAATTCAACATTAACTTTCATGTTGCTTTATGTAGATTTCTTTCCAAGGTTGGAGAGGAGGATCAGTTCACACACATTCAGTTGCTGTGCCTCTTATTTTTTGTTGTATCTTTCCAATAATAGATTGAATGAGATTACGCATTTAGGGATTAACCAACATATTGCCAATCATAGTGTATGAATTCCTTTTAGTTCCTTCTGAAATAACTCATATTTTGTCTTGTTACAGGACTTCGTTATTACAGTGGTAATTTCTTTCCTCTGGCTGGTGAGTACATCAGCTTGGGCAAAAGCCCTCACAGACATCAAAACGTCAACTGGCGATAACCTGGTGTCAGAGATTGAGGCTTGCAATGCCACCCCTCACTTATGTCACTTCAAAGAAATACGAAGCCTGGGGTCTTTGAATGTCTCAGTGGTACGTATATATTAGTAGCAGGTACTTGGGACAAACAGTGGGTCATTCTTGTGCTTCCCTTGCAGGGTCTTTAATGTCACTTTGTCAGCTTCTAGTACAGACAGAATTTCTAGATCAGTGGTTCTCAACCTGTGGGTCCCCTGGTGTTTTGGCCTCCCAGAAATCAGTTCTGTTAGGATTTCTGGGAGTTAGGATTTCTGGGAGTTGAAGACCAAAACATCCAAAATATCTTTTATCCAATATAGAACAAAATATAGAATAATTAAATATAAAGACAAAGTTACAATGTTAAAACATAGTTATTTGAGTCATAAAAATGAAATAAAAACTATTTGCAAGCAAACTGATGAGAGAATCACAGCACTGAGATGAGGACAGGGCTCTCATGCTTTTAATAGTTGCATGAAAGAGAGAAAGGGCCAGCTTTAGCACATCAGGTTAATCATCAGCTGCAGCTGCAGTAAATCTTGCCAACCAAAAGGTTGACAGTTAGAAGCTGGGTTAGGGTGAGCTCGTGACCTTCAGCCCAGCTTCCCACCTACCTCACAAAAACATCAATGTGAGTAGATGAATAGGAACTGCATTAAGCGGGGAGTATTTTAGACACGGCGTTTCGGAGGAAGGTTTATGAACAAAGAAAGCTCTTTGACAAGGAGATGGAGGAACAGCGCCCCTCTGTGGCCGGAACTGAGCAAAGCCTCCAAAGATGGTGAATGATGAGAAAAAGCCTATATATACCTCTATCTGTTGTCTATCTTGTCATTGTATAATCAGTGTTGAATGTTTGCCGTATATGTGTTCTGTGATTTGCCTTGAGTCACCTTTGGGGTGAGAAGGGCAGAATATAAATACTGCAAATAAATACATAAATAAATAAGGTTAGCAAGCATAGCTTGCCACTTACATGTACTTAAATTTCCCCTTCCAGACAGCTATTAAGAGACACGGGAGTCTTCTCCTCTTTTTCATGGGACCCATTTCTCAGCAGATTGCTATTGATATCAAGTTCTTGATTCCTTTTTCTCAAAAATCTATAGAGTTCCCCCAGTGTACATTTTTGTCAACCTAATTAGGAAGGAAACAATTTTTAGTCATTGCTATTGCCAACTGAGAGTCAGAAAGCGTAGCTAACCACAAAATTTCTCACAGATCTAATTGTTTTCTATATTTAATTTTCTGTAATTTAGATGAGCTATCAAGGTAATTATCCCATATATACATATATGTCCCTAAAATAATGTGTGCTAAATGTGGAATCATGCTTTGTGGGGATATAATATGACAGTTTTTCCTATGTCTAGTCTTTGTGCATGGGCTGAGCTTGGATGCTTAGGAACATGACAACTTTGTACGAGTTTGCAAATAAAAAGTGGAGGAACCCTACCCTCCACCTATTCTTAGCAATTATCTTTCTGAGGATGTTTCACACTGCACCATTGTAGCACTATAGTTCTACTTTAATTGCCATCCTGTGAAGTCCTGGGATTTCAGGAATCTGTGAATTTTGTTTTCTGCAGTTTCCTTCCTTTGGCTTTGAAAATTGGCTTATGAACATTATTTTGAGAGGGAACCTGCAGCTTTTATCAAATATTGAAAGAAACCTGTGACCCAAATAACCTTCAGAAGTAGTGTTAATGTTTTATCTTCCTCATTTCAATTTGTATCCATCCTTTCTTCCACAAATGGGTCGAAGTAATATAAAAAAGGAATAGAAGTGTAAAATATGAATATAATTTTGAAACACCTCTGTTTAAGAAAAAATATATAGCACTTACTAGTTAAAAGACACCCTCCAAGTTGAGCTAGTTAACTGAGCAAATCACAACACCCCTTCCCATTTTTCCATTTTTTTTGTTAACAGTAAAGGTTTCCCCTTGACATTAAGTCTAGTCATGTCTGATTCTGGGGGGTGGTGCTTATCTCCATTTCTAAGCCAAAGAGCCGTAGACGCCTCCAAGGTCATGTGGCCAGCATGACTGCATGGAGTGCCATTACCTTCCCACTGAATTGGGATATACTCATATTTGCATGTTTTCAAACTGCTAGGTTGGCAGAAGCTGGGGTTAATAGCGGGAGCTCACCCACTCCCCAGATTCAAACTGCTGACCTTTTGGTCAGCAGGTTCAGCAGCTCAGCAGTTTCCCCCCTCTGCACCACCAGGGGCTCAAATTGACTCAGAGGTATGATAATGCTATATGTTTGTTCAGAGGCCTGTTCTTGCCTTCCTCTGAAGCTGAGAGTCTGTGACTTGCCCCAGGTGACCTAATGGGTTTCTGTGGATGAGTGGGCATTTGATCCCTGGTCTCCCAGATCCTTAGTGCAACACTCAATCCACTGTGTTATCCCATTCTTCCATAATAGAGCTTTCACCCCTTATTATAGGTAAAAAGGACTTGTATGTTAATTCATTTTGATCCTACTTTCTGGTGTAGTAAAGAGGAGAAACAGTAATCTGCTCAGCATTTTTGCTATGCCACTCCTATGCACCCAAATTACACAAAGTTATGTCTGCTCACACTCTCTCTTCCCCCCCCCCCCCCCCTTCTCTCTCAGGTCATTGGTTTCCTCAACTTGATCTTGTGGGCAGGAAATGCTTGGTTTGTCTACAAGGAAACAAGTCTCCATAACCCTCCAGCAGCTTCTCCTCCAAACCCAACCAGCGTCTCATCTCCTTCAGGGATGTAAGGAACACAGAAAGCCCCCTGGTATGGAGCATCATCTTTCACTGCAGGATGGTCACTGCAGCAGCTCTGCCCCACCCCACATTTATGCACTTGATGTGTGGAAACAGATGGGTTTCCTTTTTTATCCTCCCCTCTCCTCCCCTCCCTTTTTTGTTGCTCTAATGCCTTGTAAGAGGAAAGAATGGAGATCTCCTCTCTTCCCTGTATTCATGCAAGAGGGTCGTTCTACTGTATTGAAGCTTATTCTGTGTATTGAAAAGGCAAACAAGGGTTTATTAATTAAAAGTGTCACAGAACCAGAAATCTGCCTCCAGTAGCTGGCTTTGTCACCTGGTGCAGGTCAGTATGCATTTTGGAGCTGGAGCAGAGTTGTACAGCTATGCACCTGATCCTATTCACTCGGAAGGCAACCTCACTGATTCAGTGGGTTTTACTCCCAAACAAATGTGATTAGGATTGCAGCCTTGGTCTCACCCAGACCAGGTGCCTTTGTTACATAATTCTAAGATGTAGAGAGGTTGAGAGTCTTGTGCAGTTCATACCGTGCTTGATGTTGGTTATAGCCAGGAGCTCTGGGAGTTTGCATTGGATGTAGACTCCCAACTACTTGATCAGAATGCTTACTTTCAGATTAGTATTCCTTATAGAGACTGGTAGAAGCTGCTTCCACACAGGCATTTAATCCAAAGCAGAATGTGGATTTAAAAGATCTGGTGTACGTGTGGATTGTCTATACAAAAACTACAAAATAGAGGAAATATGAAAAATGATTTGCACACCTGCTGTGGATGTCCACGGATTTTTGACCTGCATTTCCCATCAGACCTAGACAGAATTGCCAGTGGGAAGGACCATAGGAGTTATATTCCAGAAACAAAATAAGGGTGATATGATTGAGCATAAAGCTCACCCTCTCTCCTTGGCTCCAAGACCACTAAAATTCTAACCCCTTTTGTGCAAATGTTCATATAAACTAACTGAACTCATATTTTCAAATTAACTCATACAAATGCACTTGAAAAAGTCACCAAATAAGTGGCACCTTATCTGAAATGTTATAGCCTGGGAAGAATATAGAAATATTGGTAGAGTAGCATGTTTCTGTGGGGACTACATCATACAGCATTCTCAGACCTCCTGATTATGACAAGCTGGCTCTAAAATCATTCATGTTCTTTGATTTGTGCATGTGTAATAGTTTTTCACACTCTCATTCTCTAGAATTGTTTTGATTATTTTAAAGACATAATCATAGCAAGCATGCTTACAGATGCCAAAAACCAAAAGGCAGTCTCTGATAATCTACACTGTCCTAAGAATTATGTTACATCTTATATGGCTAGCATTACATTTTATTATCAGTACTAAAAGTATTCTACACAATTCCACTTTCTTGCCAAAATATTCTGAAAAAGCGTCAGTGAATAAAACACACATATTGAGTACGCCCCTGGAAAATTGTAATTTTTTTTTGCATTATTGTAATTTTAAAATATATATTTTATTGTCACATTAACCATGAGGAAAGGAAATTACTTTAGGTCAGTAAGGCAACTGTGGCTGTTTACATTGTGGTTCTACTATTTTTGAATGGTAGTTTCCATAATTCCTGAATATCAACTGCTGCTGAGTAAGACTGATGTACCAGAAGATCACATTTGGTAACCCTTCCTATGAGTGATCTTTGTTATATTCCCTCCTCATATATAAACTCTCTTGTTATCGTTCAAGAAAGGAAGTTGGAGCCATCTTCTAAACAAAATTGTGAAAGTCATTTTTGATTATGTGAATAACTCAGTCTTTTTCTTTGCTGTTCTCAAAAGGCCTTTCAGATTACCCAATTATGGCACTATGATTCTACTTGAACTGCCATAGTGGCATCCTATGGAATTTGCAACTAAGGGAAAGCAATTTAGAATTGTCAGCCAGAGAGTTCTAGTGCCTCCCTAAACTACTGGATTCCATAGGATGTAGTCATTGTAGTGCTAAAATTGTTTAGCGTGAAAGGGCCCCAAGTTTGTTCTGTGAGTCAGGAAGTTTTCAGTGTGTGTGCAGCAGATTTCCTCCCATTGTCATGTATGCTAAGGAACTTTGATATGTTGCAGTGGGTTCTGGGTCACATTCCTGAACAAACCCTCGGCTTCTTCGGGGGCTTAGCAAGATCTTTTGGGGCCTAACCAGTAACCTGTGTGCACTGAGAGATATCTCCCAATTTATAAGATCCGTTTTGTTTCTAATTAGAACTGCAGCATCCATAACTTGCAGTCAGGGCTTATGAGAATGGAACCAGATCTGGAAGACCTAAAATAAATTCCTCTTACTCTACATGTGCAAGCCCCAAATAGGTCAAATATTAAGGGGGTGGGGCAGGGGAACTAAAGCTTCCATGATTGTGGGTGTCGTTTTCCAAAGCACTGCTGTAGGTCAGAGATTCTCAGCAAACTCTGAAAAAGCATGCCCTTTGCTATTACTTTTATTATTATTTCTTAAAGAGCCAGAAACCCTTACACAGGAACCAGTAATCTGCTAAAACTCAAATTATTTGCTATCAATTCCTCTCATATTAGCATAATGGAACAAAATCTGTCATTGCCAGGAAAACTTATTTGCTTTGAGAGATTTCCTAAACACTCCCAAAGCTTTGCAAAGCTTCTATTTGCTGCAAAAGACTGGTTAAAACACTGGGAAGCGGGGGAATGGCAAATGGTGGAAGGTGTGTTGGTTTTGGTTTTGGAATGTAGTTTTGAATTGCCTTGCTTTTATGTGCTTGCAGAATATAATTTTTTTTGTAGGAAAGAACACCAAACCTGAATGCATGTTTGACAATTACAATCTTTTTTTTTTTTTGTCCCAGTGGACCCTTTGAAATCAATGGAAATGTAGACAGTGGTTAACAAGTTCTATTCATTCCAATAGAAATATCATAGAAGGGCTAAAACAAATTTAGCCTTTTGTTCACAGTTTATTTTATGTTTTTGGCTTCTGTAATTCTACATACTTTTCTCCGCTATGAATTAAACCAATCTCCCCCCACCCATTCTTTAGACAAAGATCCTATGTAAATATCTCTGCTGGTGGTCTTTTCCAAAAAAACTTATGTTATGGCCTGACTACATAGAAACACACACATAAATGTAAAAGTACAGATATTATCTGAGAGTTAATGCCTTTTTAAAATAAGTAAAAAATAAAGGAGAATAATTGTTACGCCGCTATCAAACCTGTAGTGCCATGTTATTCACACATGTACTATATTGCTTTAAAAAGGAATAAAAATTTACCATTTCCTAATAAATTGTCACATATTAATTCCAGATTAAGCATTGTGCCCCAGATCTTATATGTAGTCCCCCACCAATGTGTAGCTTATTGATGCTATTAATATTTTGTAATCTTGCTGAACTGCAGCACAAATACTAGTCAGGTTTTGAATTTGTTGATTGCATGCAAAAAACAGCTATTCAGAAAGATACACAGTTTTATACACTTTAAGTTTTCATCTCCTCATCTTAAGTATTACTAATCCAGAAGTACAAGCAGTACCAATCACTTGATACTTCACTGAGCACTACGTTCATAAATTTCTAAGGTGAAGCTATTTTTTCTAGTGTGTTTTATATGCGCCAAACAAGTTCAACTAACCATTGATCCATAACACTAAGCACCTTGTGTAAAGTTGAAAGAAAGCCTTAATATTCTCCATTATTTTAAAGCTTTAACCTCAACGCGTCTTGAAATCTGCATGGTGCTTGGTGCTAAAGAATGCAGAATGCGACCTCAGAGGCAGACTCATAAGTATCTCAGCCTTAATTTTAAACAAACAAGCGTCTATTCCTCCTCATTGCCATGCTGCTTCCTGCTTGCTGCTTACTCCAGGAGTATAAGTGAAATGCATGGCTGAATACAAACAAGCATGCCTTACAAAGATGCTTTTTAGAGGTCTGTGAATCATTCAGGCTTATCCAGCTTCATGTTTTGAATATTACTTTTCTGCTTTCTCTCAGGGTTGAATTAAAGCCACTTTGGGGGGCTATTTCAATCCATACAGCCTACTAAGTCCACAATTATTTGAAATGCATGTTCAAGTAAGGAATTGCCCAAATGAGGACAGCAAGCAAATTATTACCCTATTCTCAGATTTTTTTTAAAAAAAATAACATTGACCAATAAGCATTTATAGCTGAACTTTCCAAACTCTGTGCCATAATATGTTAGTGTGTGAGCTGCAGTGTCACATGAATGTTAACGAGAAAGTCACAAATCTTGGAAATGTATAATCTTACAAATCATACACTTTAGAAAATATAAAGGAAAGGTTTTCATGAGATACATAGTGTCCCCATAAAAAGATAAAGGTAAAAGTTTCCCCTGACATTAAACCTAGTCGTGTCCAACTCTGGGCAGTGGTGTTCATTTCAGTTTCTAAGCCAAAGAGCTGGTGTTGTCCATAGATACCTTCAAGGTCATGTGGCCAGCATGACTGCATGGAGTGCCGTTACCTTCCCACCTATTGATCTAGTCACATTTGCATATTTTCGAACTCCTAGGTTGGCAGAAGCTGGGGCAAATGGTGGGAGCTCACCCTGCTCCCCGATTTGAACTGCCAACCTTTTGGTCAGCAAGTTCAGCAGCTCAGTGGTTTAAACCGCTGCACCACCAGCCCCCCCCCCCAATACATTTTGTTGTGTTTGTATCGCTTATGAGGAGTTGGTTTAACTTCAGATATTCTAGTAAAACTAAATTACGCGTTCAAAAATGATGTATGTCTAAAAAGCATGTCACCAACATGTGTTTGGAAAGCTCTGTTTTATAGAATTGAGTTTCTCACACAAATGTCTGAGATAAAAGTAGAAGGGATGGATAACTGTTTGTTCTCCAAATACTTTGGACTGTGACTATACCAACTCTTACCATCAACCATGTTGGATAGAAGCTCTTATAGATACTGTAATCCAAAATGAGAATACCCATGCTTTCCCATTCTGGGTAGAGCCTGATGATGGTGCATGGATTCCTGATATTCTCTCAGGTTCCATGTTCAGGACTGGCTGTATGACATTCCAGATGTGGGAACTGGCCCTTAGATACAGTAATCACTTGTCTTTTTCCAATGAACTAAAAGAGAACATGTGGCTATCTACAGATGTCACACATCCCTCACACTTCCATGGTTTTTGTTTTTGTTTTTTTGATAGGGGTGACAAAATCAGAAAGTGGGAGGAAACTAAAATGCCATATATTTCCCTGATTGTAAGGTGCACTACTTTCCCATTTTAGGGGCTCCGAAAATGGGATGCACCTTACAATCAATGATGCCTTAGATTTTTAGATTTCTTTTTTTCTTTTTACATTGTCTTTCCTCCAAAAAAAGGGCCCCAGGCCCAAACTGCTCTGGTTTTAGGGGTTTTTAAAATATTGTTTTACCTCTGAGAGAGAAAGTGTCCAAGCCCCCACATCTCAGCCACCCATCACCATTTTGTCTTTTGCCTCAGCCAGATGGGTGTTTGTTTACCATCTGATTGAGCTAAGCATCACTTCTTGCTTCCTCTGCCTCCCCAATAGGCCTATAGAGCTAGGAAAATAGAGTCCAGATGACCTCTGGGTTGAAACAAAAAATCATGTGCATGCAGAGGAAATTCTTAAAAATAGTTAAGGAAAATCCTTTTTTCCCCAAAAATTGAAGTTTCAAAAGAGTGATTGCACTCTTCATTCAGTGGTGCCATAGATTTAATGAATTTCAGTAATTCTCTTCTACCTACTTAACTTCACATACGTGCTTTTAGTATGTGGAGGACCTAAGGGATGGCTGTATGGATTGAAAGAAAGTGGTCATGTCGGTAACCCCCTGAAATCCATCTTTAGCTCTTGTATAGTCATTTAAACACTGGAAGCTTTTAAAGCTGAAAAACTATGCAAATGTTTGCAAATAATGCTTTTGAATTTCTTATTAAAGTGGAATGCAAGAATGTTTTGAGGGTGGGGTGGGATTGAAGTAGAAATATAGCTAATGTCTTCTCTCCTGAAAGGATATATTAACATAACACCTCACTATTTGCTTACTTGTGATCTTAGATTTCTCCTAAATCATTCCCTTCCCATATAGTTAGCACAAGGAAATGCACCTTTTCTTTTCTTTTCAAGAAAATTTGGCTGTGTCTCATCTAAACCATTGATCAGTGAGCATCATATATAAGTATGGAGTTTTATTCCTGTGGTATATCCACACTCCACTGTTATAGCAGTTTGATACCACTTTAATGGTAACAGCTCCATCCCATGGCAACAGCTCCATCCCATGGCAACAGCTCCATCCCATGGGATAGTGGGATTTGTGCTCTGGGTTTGTTTGTGTGTGTGTGTGTGTGTGTGTCAGGGGCGACTTGAGAAACTGTAAGTCACTTCTGGTGTGAGGGAATTGGCCATCTGCAAGGATGTTGCCCAGGAGATGCCCAGATGTTTTGATGTTTTACCATCTTTGTGGGAGGTTTCTCTCATGTCCCCGCATGGGGTGCTGGAGCTGACAGAGGGAGCTCATCCACGCTTTTCCCTCTGACCTGTCAGTCTTCAGTTTGCTGGCACAAGGGTTTAACCCATTGCACTACCGAGGGTCCCACTGTAGTGAGGATTTATTAAAGTGGCATCAAAGTGTAATAATTGTGTAATGTGAATACACCAATCAATTGTGCCTGCAGGAATGAGAAGTGGATACCATCTTTTTCTTTTAAAAAAATTGTTTTGCTAATTTTTGTGCTTTTTCTGAGATATGAAGAGATGGAATCCAGATTCATTTTGTAACGAAAGTGGTCTTACATGCAACATTTTGTCCCCTCCCCCTCCCCATTAGAACTGTTCTGTACACAGTCAGTGTAATAAAAATATTTGCTCACAAAATATACATGTTCTGAATTGTAATTGCCTTTTTTCTTCTAGAATGTGTTAACTGTGGTTGAACATAATCTTATCTATAGTCCACAATTTTTAGATGTTCTGATAAATCTTAGTATGAATTTGAAAAAAAAGTATGTCATGTGAATCTAAATAAATAAAAATGTAATGTTCGTTTGTGGGATTAACATAAATCATAAACCACTGGACGAATTGACACCAAATTTGGACAGCATATACCTAACAACCCAATGTATGTCCTTCACTCAAAAAATTGATTTTGTCTTTTGGGAGTTGTAGTTGCTGGGATTTATAGTTCACCTACAATCAAATAGCATGATAGAATTGAACCAACCGGGACGCCCATGACCAACAGAAAATACTAGAGGGATTTGGTGAGCATTGATCTTGAGTTTGGGAGTTGTAGTTCACCTACATCCAGATAATACCATGGACTCAAACAATGATGGATCTGGACCAAACGTGGCACAAATATTCCATAAGCCCAAATATGAACACAGATGGAATTTGGGGGAAAGAGGCCTTGATATCTGGGAGTTGTAGTTACTGGGACATATAGTTCACCTACAATCAAAGAGTGTTCTGAACCCCACCAACGACAGAATTGGGGCAAACTTCCCGCACAGAACCCCCACGACCAACAGAAAATACTTAAGGCCATCCAGTCCAACTCGCTTCACCAGGGTAAGAAAATATAATCAAAGCCCTCCTGACAAAGAGCCACCCAGCCATAGATATAGATAGATATGATTCACACACACACACAGAGATATAGAATCCTAGATTTGAAAGGGACCCCTGAAGGACAATTATATGTTGCATGTTCCAGAGTAGGCAAACCAGACAATCTCCACATCAACACTGAGAAAGGAACAACAAGAAATACTGTACCCACAAGCATAAATAAATTACATATATTAGAAACCAACGCTTTCTCATTATTTTCCAGATCACCAGACTGAGCCACAGCAACGCATGGCAGGGGATGGCTGGTCTTTAATAAACATGAAAGAAAGAAGAGCAATGATTAGTTGAAGATGGAAGTGGAGTTGTAATCTTTCATTCAGAGGCTCAAGACAAGCGTTTCTCAACCTGGGGGTTGGGACCTGTAGGGGGTCGCCAAAGACCATAAGAAAACACAGTATTTTCTGTTGATCACAGGGGTTCTGTGTGGGAAGTTTGGCCCAATTCTATCTCGGTGGGGTTCAGAATGCTCTTTGATTGTAGGTGAACTATAAATCCCTGCAATGACAACTGCCAAATGTCAAGGTCTATTTTCCCCTAAACTCCATCAGTGTTCACATTTGGGCATATTGAGTATTGGCGCCAAGTTTGGTACAGATCCATCATTGTTTGAGTCCATAGTGCTCTCTGGATATAGGTGAACTACAACTCTAAAACTCAAGGTCAATGCCCACCAAATACTTCCAGTATTTTCTGTTGGTTATGGGAGTTTTATGTGCCAAGATTGGTTCAATTCCATCATTGGCGGAGAATTCTCTTAGATTGTAGGTGAACTATAAATCCCAGCAACTACAACTCCTAAGTGACAAAATCAATCCCCCCGCCCACACACGCACCAGTATCCAAATTTGGTCCAATGAATTAAAATACATCCTGCATATCAGATATTTACATTATGATTCATAACTAGCAAAATTACAGTTTTGAAGTAGCAACGAAAATGTTATGGTTGGGGTCATCACGACATGAAGAACTGTATAAAGGGGTTGCAGCATTAAGAAGATTGAGACACATTGCACTACACATTATGATTAATTATTCTTTGAAAAAATAGAATTTAGACATTTGTGTGAGATTTGCGTGAGAGGGCTGCACATGTTTTATACAGCATTCTCTATGACACCTAAAATGCTTTGCTTTAAGGACGCGTTGGCTCACATATTACTGTAATATTACTGTAATATCCCTCTTGTAGTACTGTGATAGTTGTATCTAAGCTCAGAGAGAACAAGAGAGGTGCAAATGGCCACCTTGATTAGCATTTAATGGCCTTGCAGCTTCAAAGCCTCACTGATTCCTGCCTGGGGAATCCTTTGTTGGGGGTGTTAGTTAGCCCTGATTAATTCTTGTCTGGAATTCCCCTGCTTTTTGAGTCTGGCTCTTTATTTACTGTCCTGATTTTAGAGTTTTTTAAAACTGGTAGAACTGATTTGGTTCATTTTCATGGTTTTCTCCTTTCTGTTGAAATTGTGCACATGCTTGTTCCAATCTGCCAGGCTTTGAAGCTGCAAGGCCATTAAATGCTAATCAAGGTAGCCAGTTGCAACATTCACACTTGCCTCAAGCAAACATGAGTTCTTTCTCCCACCCTGTACATTCCGCAGATATATACACCTCACTTGCCTAGTTTCCAACAGACTCCTCAACCTCTGAGGATGCCTGTCACAGGTGTGGCCAAAACGCCAGGAAAGAATGCTTCTGGAACATGGCCATACAGAAAAACTCATAGTAATCCAGTGATTCTGGCCATGAAAGCCTTCGACAACACTATATCAAACCTTATTCTAAGAGGTGCCAATGCTTTGACCGGGGGTGCTTCCATGATGTCTTGAACTTGTTTTTCTGGCGGAAGAGTGTGTTGGTGATGACAAGGTTGTGTTCCGCACATTTGGTGAGAAGCAGGATGCTGTTTGAGTTGCTGTTTCCAACCCCTTCTTTTCCTATGGTCCCTGGCCACAGGCCGAAGTCTCGCCCGACTCTTGCATTAAAGTCCCCCAGGAGGATGATTTTGTCCTCCTTAGGTATCCCCGATAGGACGGTGTCCAGCTGACAGTAGAATTTCTCCTTGATATCTTCATCAGCATTTAGTGTTGGTGCGTAGGCACTTATGATGGTTGCCTGTTGGTTTTTGGCAAGATCAATTCGGAGGGTTGAGAGTCGTTCATTGATGCCAGTGGGTGCTTCGGTCAGATGTTTCACCAGATCATTTCTGATAGCAAAGCCAACTCCGTGCATTCTTTGGTCTTCTTCAGGCAGTCCCTTCCAGAAGAAGGTGTAGCCTCCTTTTTCTTCCTTCAGCTGTCCCTCTCCTGCTCTCCGGGTCTCCTGAAGGGCTGCTATGTCGATGTTAAAGCGTCCCAGCTCCCTTGCAATGATGGCAGTTCTGCATTCGGGGCGTTCACTGCCACTGTTGGCAGGGAACAAAATCAACCTCCGTACATGGCATTCATTGACCTTGCAAAGGCATTCGACACAGTGAATCGCAGCGCTCTCTGGACCATCCTCCAAAAAATCGGGTGCCCAAACAAATTTGTGAACATCCTGCGGCTCCTCCATGATGACATGATGGCAACAGTTGTGGACAGCAATGCCTCCCAAAGTGACCCATTTAAGGTGGAATCGGGTGTCAAACAGGAATGTGTTATTGCTCCAACTCTTTTCTCCATCTTCATTGCTATGATTCTTCACCTTGTTGACGGGAAGCTTCCCACCGGAGTGGAAGTCATCTATCGGACAGATGGCAAGCTGTTTAACCTCAGCAGACTGAAAGCCAAAACCAAGGTTACAACAACATCTGTTATAGAACTCCAGTATGCTGATGACAATGTCGTCTGTGCGCATTCAGAAGAAGATCTACAAGCCACTCTAAACACCTTTGCAGAAGCATACACGAAGCTTGGCCTGTCTCTGAACATCGAGAAAACCAAAGTGCTGTTCCAGCAGTCACCAGCCATCCCCTCCCCAATGCCAGAGATACAGCTTAATGGTGTAACATTAGAAAATGACCATTTCCGCTACCTTGGCAGCCATCTCTCCACCAAAGTCAACATCGACACCAAAATACAACACCGCCTGAGCTCTGCGAGTGCAGCATTTTCCCGAATGAAGCAGAGAGTGTTTGAGGACCAGGACATCCGTAGGGATACCAAGGTGCTTGTCTATAAAGCTGTTGTCCTCCCAACCCTGCTATATGCCTGCGAAACGTGGACTGTCTACAGACGTCACATGCAACTCCTGGAACGATTCCATCAGTGCTGCCTCCGGAAAATCCTGCAAATCTCTTGGGAAGACAAGCGGACAAACATCAGCGTGCTGGAAGAAGCAAAGACCACCAGGATTGAAGCGATGGTCCTCTGCCATCAACTCCGCTGGGCCGGCCACGTTGTCCGGATGCCTGACCACCGTCTCCCAAAGCAGCTGCTCTAGTCTGAACTTAAGAACAGAAAACGGAACATTGGTGGACAGGAAAAGAGATTTAAAGATGGCCTCAAAGCCAACCTTAAAATCTCTGGCATAAACACTGAGAACTGGGAAGCCCTGGCCATTGAGCGTTCCAGCTGGAGGACAGCTGTGACCAGCAGTGCTGCAGAATTCGAGGAGGCACGAGTGGAGGGTGAAAGAGAGAAACGTGCCAGGAGGAAGGCGCGTCAAGCCAACCCCGACTGGGACCGCCTTCCACCTGGAAACCAATGCCCTCACTGTGGGAGAAGATGCGGGTCAAGAATAGGGCTCCACAGCCACTTACGAATCCACAAGGAAACCCATCATGGAAGACCATCTTACTCGTCCAACGAGGGATCGCCTAAGTAAGTAAGTAAGTATCAAACCTTATTGGAATAAGTATTGTTTTTTAAAAATCATGTTATGGTCACCATAAGATTGAGTTGAAGCACAGTGCAGCAACAAAAAGGGAGCATTCTGGCTCAGGATGTTAAGTATTTTTGGTGGGCTTAAGTAATTATGTGTGATTTTGTGATCATTCCAATCCTAATTTCCTAAAATGTAACACATTTCTTGTAGGAAGCAAGTGACAGCTTTCTATCATAAGAGTCGTGTGTGGCCCACAAAAGTTTGCTGTATAACTTTTTTACAGTATTTATCTGCTAAGAAACATAATAAATCCAGTTCATTGTGTTTTGCCCCCATATAAGGGTGTCTGGGTTGCATCTGAAGCTCTAGGAATCCAACTACTATATTATCCACCAGACTAATGGCAGTAGCACCTCTGAAGTATGCAGTTT